AGAAGAGAAGAGAAAAAGCACAGTGAGAAACAAGAGTTCCCCTGGAGGAGGGTGACTGGAGCTACAAACCTGCTAGAAACTGGAATACAGACACTGTCTGACAGAACTGGGAGCATTTCCCCTGGGAAACAGATGCCTCGAAAAAATCCAAATGTGTAGTATCTCTGTGCCATAGTGGGAGAGAGCATCTTGTCCAAACTCATTCCCACCAGTGTGAGAGAGCGGACACCGAGGTACAGAGACTGCCTAACTGAACTCTGGGTGTCCCACAAGCAGGGGCCAGGGGAGCACCTGGCAGGTACGAGAGGGGAACACCTGCCCGCCTGCCCGCCAGGGAGCTGGGCGTCATTTCGCGGTCGGGCTTTCCACGGTAGGGAAACAGACCGTGAGGCAGGATGCAAACAATATGAAAAGAAAGAGAAAAAGAAATGAAGGATTCAGAAGACGGTCACCCCACTCACTCAGGTCCCCTCCACTTCGGTGCCCTTCTCCCCAAAGCTCCCCTCCTTTAGCCCACCACTAGGCCCCCCACTTCCCTTGCGGCTCATCCTCTGCCACGGCCCCTTCACCCCCGGTACCTTGTTGGGTTTTACTGCCCGTTGTAGATTCTCGATCCATTTGTCCCTTTCAGCTGCAGACCGACAGGCAAAGCACTTGGTTCCTGATGATGTCGTCACCTAGAGCAGGTGTGTGGGGTTGAGGGACAGGACTCCAAGGACGGGACTCTCCCCATCCCTCCCTGCTGCTCTAACCTAGGCCAGGGCACTTCCGTCTCCTTCGCACCCCCACCTGTGCTGGTTCCTCTAGGTCATGCTCCCTGCCCTCCACCATCCCTGCCCGGGAGACCCAGTACCTCAAAACAGAACTCCTGGCCCAGGATGGAGCTGTGCACTGGCTTGATAATGGAGTCTTCATCCAAGTTGAGCTCCAGGGCCTCCGCTGCACTGCTAGGGCTCAGCAAGGACTCGTGGGAGTGCGACTCCTTGAAGCTCTGCATCAGCCGGGCCCTGGCAGGTGGGGTGGCAGGGAGGGTCAGGACCCCCGTTCTCTTTACATACTCGGAGCGCTGCCTCACTGATCTTGCTCTGAACAGACTCAGATAAGCTCCCCTGACCCCCTTCGCAAGCACACAGACTCACAGGAAGAAAGCCCACCTCTCTGGGGAAGGCCACGAGAGATCTGAATGAAACCAGAACACTTTAAGAAACTCCTAAGCCGGGTGTGGTGGCGCACTCCTGTAATTCCAGGACTTGGGAGGCTGAGGCAGGAGGATCGTTGTGAGTTTGAGACCTGCCTGGGCTACAAAGTGAGCTTAAGACCAGCCTGAACTGCATAGCAAGACCCTGTCTCAAAAAGACCAAAAAACAACAACAACAACAAAAAACACTCCTCACCCTAGTCAACCCTAAGGGATTGTGAAGCCTAGGCACGCTAGAGTATCTCAGTCCAGAAATAGACCGTGGCAGAAAGGGACAGTGAGCGAAAGAAAACAAGGTGGGCCTGGGACACTTCTAGGTAGGACCTGCAGGTGACCCCAGAAATCAGAGGCCACAGCACAAGGGGAAGCACGGGAGAGAAGCAGTGGCCCGGATGATGAAACACCTGTCTGACCTCCACGTGGCACCCAAGGAGCACCTAAAACCCTTTAAGATTCCAGCTGCGAATCAATGAAAACAGAACAGACAAGCTGCAGCGGAACCAGGGCGGAGAGTGAGGGAAAAGCACAAGAAGTAAGGAAAGCTGGGGGCAGGACTGGGCCAGCTGGGCAGGAAGTGGAAAGCCGGAGTGAAGCCGGTGCTGCCGAGGGAGGGGACCAGAGGGCCTCGGGAGAGGACGGATAACGGCTGGGCAAGGAACGAGCCGGACAGGAGCAGAGCAGGAAAGGAGCGGGCTAGGGGCCGCGGAGTAGCGAGCAGGAGGGAGCGGGAGGGGGAGCTCGGGTGTGGGAGCCTCCATGGAGTTATTTATAGCAGCTCCGTCATCACAGGCTCTGGCTGCCGTCAGCGCCACGCTCCCCCGGCCCCCGCCCCCGCGGCCAGGAATACCATGCCCTCGCCCCTCCCCCCGCGGCCCCAAATCCTGCTCAGGGACCTGGGGGGGCAGGGAAAGGTGTGACTCACCTCATCCCAACCTCTGCACCTGCCCGATCCCGGGGGCGGCCAGACGTGGGGGGAAGGGAGGACAGGGTTCTCCCAGGGGAGTGCCGGGGCAAAGGGGACACCCAGAGAGGGACCCGCACAGGCAGATGCCAGGGACACAGAGCCGGAGGTCTCCTTCAGCCAGCCTCAGGGGCGGCACCCCTATTCTCCGAGGGCTGCTACTTCTGCTGCCAGTCTGTGGGTCACCCTGCACAGCTGTCCCTGCAGCCCCTTTCTCCGTCCTGCTCTGCACTGCCCCTTAGGGGTGAGGCCCCTCAGCCCTAACCTTCATCTGTTCACATGGGCCGTCCCCAGCCCTCCTCCAGCCTGCTGCCCCCATGCCTCTGCCCTCCTGTCCCTTCCACCGGCCCCACTGCCCCTTGCCTCCGGTGCCGAACACGTCCCCTCCCCGCCTCCTCCGGCCCTGTGCAGCTCCCTTGATCCTGGGCTGCAGTGCGTCCATGCCCTGCCTGCCTCGGTGGTCCTCGCTGCACCCAGCCTCCAGCTGGCTCTTCCCCCTCGGTCACCCCGACCCGCGGCACCCGGCTCCTCTCGTAGGCTCCACCCCCGCCCCCACCTACCGGTCATGGTCAGCACTTCGGAAGCGAGGCAGGATCTGGCGAAAGCTGCTGGTCCGGTCAAGTTTAGGTTGTGACTTCGTGCGTTTGATGGAGCTTTTCAGCCTTCGGCTCAGGAAGCCTTGCTGGGGGTGACAATGGGCGCGGGGTGGGTTGGGGCAGGGTCACTTCTACCCGCTCAGCCCTCAGCGGGGAGTCCTGGCAGGAGGTGGCAGGGCGGGCAGGAAAGGGGAGAGGAGCCCTGACACCAGTGTGTCTTCTTGCTCCCACGGGTGCGGCGCAAGCAAACACACAAACACACACACAGCTTGGAGAAGGTGGGAGGGCGGGTCTGAGAGGCGGGGGGTAGAGCCAAGAAGGGGGAGGCCAGAGGGGAGGGGACACGCGCGCAGGCACACAGTCCTGCCCTCCGGCCGCTTCCTCAGAAGCCCGCGGCTCCAGCTGGGGCTGGCGGGGAGGAGGCCCAGCTGAGCACATCTGGCAGCGCTTCCATTCACTCACCGAGGGCCGGAAGGGCGCAGCGGGGGCGGCCTCCATGCTGTACTGCTTCCCCCCTGGGACACTCTTCCTCCTCGAGCGACCCAAGTGGTATTCTGGAGGGGAGGAGAGGGCCCCGGAGGGAAGTTGGGGAGAGGGCGCCCCCGGCACGGGGAGCTGTCGGCCCAGGTTTCGCCCTGGCCCCGGAGCACTGCCCACCTCCCTCGGCCCTCGGCGCCGGCCTCACCTACCCCCCGGAAAGCAGCAGGAAGAGCAGCGGCGGCGGAGAGGCTGGCGGCGGGAAGGAGGGGGCAAGGAACCCGAGCCCGAGCCCCCAGAGGGGGACGGAGTGGGAGGCCTTAAGCCCATGACTGAGGGTGCAGTCAGCAGGGGTGCATGGCCAAGGGGGTCAGGGGAACCCGGGAGTAAGGACGGGAGGCTAGGGCCCGTGCCCACCCCCAGAAGGCTGGCTGGGGGAAAGCTGGGTTAAAGGTCATTGCCTGCAGGCAGGCTCTGCTCTGCTGCCCGCTGGGGACATCCTCCCCCTGCCTGCACCTCCCGGAACCCCCGTAGGTCTGGAGGCCGACCCCGGGTTGCCTCCCATGACCCCCTCCTGGGCTGGAGGGGGAGCCCCTAGAAGGCACCCAGGAGGGGTGGCAGGGCAGAAAACGGGGGCCAGAAAATCCAAGGAAGGGGCAGACAGGGGGAGGGGAGAAGGAGCCGGTTCCACGTGCACTGCAGTGGCACGGACTCAGAAGGGAACGGGCGAAAAGGGGGAGCAAAGAACGCGGGGGAGTGGGCAGGGAGTGGGCAGGATGGGCAGTGGGGGTTCTGGGGACTCCTCAAGTAAGGGTGGAAGAGGAGGGGAGGGAAGGTGAATGCGGCTGAGACTCAGCCTGCCAAGAGCCTGGAGGGATGGCAGCTCCGAGGAGGGAAGCTGAGGCTCTGCTGCCAGGGAATTTGGAGGGGCTGAAGGGGCTGGAGGAGAATGAAAGTGGGGGGATGCCAAGCTCCGGCTCCAGCTCCAGAATGGCTGCCCAGGCCTGGGCTCCCCCCTCAGCCCCACAGTCACCACTGCAGCCAATGGGGGGGCAGGTGCTGCATCAGGGGCGGGGCCACCATCTCCACGGCAACAAGAAGCTACAGGCTGGAGGGGGGGTGGACCGGAAGAGCTGCCTGTTAACCCTCTAGGTTCCAGAACAGAACCACGGAGGGCCATACTGCATTTTCACTGTACACTTCCAGAGTTGCAAATTCCCCTAGAATCAGTCCCCGGCTTCCCTTCACCTGCGAAACCCAGGTATCAGCGTCACACACAAAAATCCGGATCTCAGGGCACAAGAACCCTAGCAGTCACCCAGGAACACGTGTAGACAGCACAGAAACACACGGAGCTGTGCGGTACAGTATATCAAGACCACAACACAGAAATGAAACGAGGATCTCCATGCTTATGAGACATACACAGCCGGAGATACAGCTCAGCGGCATAAGTGCCTGCCTGGCAAACACAAGGTCCTGAGTTCAATTCCCGATACCAAAAAAAAAAAAAACCAAAAAAAAAACCAGACATACACACAACCACCAGACCCGGAGATACCGGGGAATCCAGAGACCTTAAGGCCCACACATCTCACACGCTTAGACACGGACAGCCACACGAGGGCTGCTGGTGTGGACTGATGGCCTGAGCCTCTCAAGCAGTTATGTGGACAGCACGCTGCAGAAATGGACGCCTAGCTCCGAAGGCACACGCGTGTCCCCACGCAGGGAAATGCCAGTTTACCAAGAGATGTGTGCCTGGTACACCATGCCGTGATCCCACACAACCTTCTTCCCGTTGCCAAAAGCACAAACAGCCTCCATTCACAAGAAGACTACAACCACATCCACCCTGTCTTGGGACAACCCATTTTTCACCCTGGCCCTTCCCAGTCTCCAACACCAACACCCGGGCTTGCTACCAAGGAGCAAATGGGTTATTCCTCTATTACAGGCTAAGAAGCGACTCCAAGGGTGCAGGACATCTCTTTCCCAGACACATTTCTCTGCGCTATGGCTATGGCTGCCTCTCCCTCACTTCAGGCTCAGCCATCATTTTCACACACTAGCTCCCCTAAGAAAGGCGTAAAGTCTAACTTTCCATCCACTAAAACTCTGCTCTGGAACCAAAGCATGAATAGAAGGAAAAAGAATCTGCTAATTGGCTTCCTCAGTTCTTGGAAGTAATATAACCTCACACACAGCCCCAGGAGCCAAGGTCTGTGAACTCACACAGGTACATGGAAGCTGCACACACATGCTTACAAACACTCTCACCGCTGCAGGGGAAAGAATAGCAGACACACAGAAGGGGGGGCAGAGTGACAGAAACACAGGACATCCTGTTATTAGTGGTGCACGCAGTGACATGTACAGGGAACACAGCACACAACCGTGTATGCACACAGAGCAAACCTGAAAAGCACACACTGCCAGGCTGGGTCTATGTCCCATCCCTGCACGATGTATACACGCAAGCACACGCATCACAGCCTCCTACACAGACCCGTAACACAGGCATTGTGCACACACCCACACATGTACACACCCTGTATACACAATTGCACTCACACACACAGAACAAGGACTTGGACTCCCGCCCCAGCGACGTCTCTAATCTTGCCCACCCACAGCACCCCCGTGGCCTCCATTCCCCCAAACCCCTAGCCTTCCCTTTGGCCTTGCCCTCGCCACACGGCTGGCAGCTCTCAGGGCAGCAGGAGAAAGGCTGCCAGAGAAAGATAAGGAACAGGGTTGGAACGGGACCCGAGCGGTGGGGGGCGGCACGCGGGGACACGACCTCTAGGACCCTCTGAGGACCGTCCCTGCTGAGCCAGGCCTGCAGTGAGCCGTGGGCTTCCACGTGGCCTGGCCTCCCTGTCCTCCAGGCCCGTGAGCCCCGTGCCCTCTCCCATCCCCCTCCAGGCTCACCTGAGCAAGGCCTGCTGGCTCCTGCCCTGCCCTGGCCCCAGGCCCCGCTCCCAGCCCCTCTGCCCTCCTCTGAGTGTGGCTCTCTGCTCTCCCCCCTACTCCCCCTCTCAGCCTGCTCTCCCTGGCTGTCCTCTGCTCTGGAAGCTGCTCTCCCCTGCCCTCTCCCCACTCTTCCTCTGCACCCCACTCCTTCCCTCCTGAGCTTTTCTGTCCCCACTCCCAGTCCCAGGCCGGGCCGGGCTCACACCTGCCTTCCCAAAGGTGCTTCACACACCGCAAGAGTCCCGGGGGTACACACACTCTCTCCTCTGCCACAGCACACCACCCACATCCAGACACGCCCTGGACACCCATGCTGGGGCTGACACAGATCCTCAGGCCAGTGCTGGAACACACATGCAAAGACACACACCTGCCGGCAGGGACAGACACTGCTCATGCGGCTGGCCACACATTCCTACACACGGAGGCTCCTGGGAGGTGAGCCCCAGCCAGGGGCATGCACCTCAGGGTCAGAGGTGACATGGATCAGTATGGCCACGGGCTGCCCTACGAGCCAGTACCTGGCCCAACAAGACCCTTAGGCAGAGGCAGAATAAGACAGGACACGCTTGCACACGACTCACTGCACATGTGTGCAAAAGGAACTGGGCCCTGTACAGTGCACATGGCACCGACACACAGGGGACGCGCGCAGGGACACGAACACACGCAAACACACGGGCTGCCCCCTCCATCGGGGACCCTGAGACCCCACACACCGCCGCCCCCGCGCGCTCGCAACCCTGCCCCCACGAGGCCGTGCGGACCCCCGACCTCCGATGCCCCCCTCCGGTTACCATAACTCCCCCCACTCGGAAGATGCAGCGAGAACATGCGGAGGGAGCAGCTGC